CTCAAAACAGTGCATGCTTTAAAGGAATCGAAAAAAAAAACTCTCAGCTGAAGAAAAACACAAACACGGGGTAGATCAGATCAGCGAAGTATGAACAGAAAACAAACCCAGAGAATTCATTAACAACCATGTGCATTTGTCATGGATGTTGTGTAAAAGCAAGCCATGTTTTATTGCGAAGAACCTTACTCGAACACACACAATTCAGTTCAACACACAGAATCAATTTTTGACGAAGTTTAGATATGGTTAATAGCCACGTTTCGCTACGGCTACGGTACTGTCTACAACAGAGAAACTAATGGAGCTTATGACAAATATTTTGTGCAGTTAAAAATACTATCTCTACTAGTCAGTCTGGATAGGCTAAGAGATGGAGTTTCAATCGAAAATTTGCACATTGTGTTAGACAGCTACTCCGCAATTTACGAAAATAACTTATCTCTTTTGAAGTTGTATTACCCTTATTCAGTAAAGTCTTTCTCAGAATTTGTTTCTGCATTTTCAATCAGTTAGCCAATAATATTACGTTACTTTCGTCAATAACAAAAGGGAGTCCTTTATTAATTTGTAATTAAAATGGACCTTTTCACTATTAACGCGGAATTCGAGACTATCTGTGTTACTTATGGAGCAAGTGTTGGTTAGGAAACAAAGTATGTTTCGCACCAGGTCATCAGTGACTCACAAAAGTTTACAGGCGTTGTCAAAATCTTTAGTTTCATCGAAATGTTTAATTTGTAACGATGTTCAGTCCTCTTAATTGTTGTCAAGGCAACCGTTTCTCGGAAAACACGGAACACATAAACCTGACACATAAACAGGGATCATCTCGCTGATCAAGCTGACTCAAAGATAATACTTGGGGGGAGGGGGTGTTTTTTTTCCCATGAATTGAGCCCGTTGCACCAAGTTGTTTCGGGTGAAATCTCGAACAGGGTTTTCAATGACAAAAACTTTACTTTTCCTGGTGCCATAATGCTCGTCATGCTCGAGGAGCGTGAAATGTTCTTGGAGGCGTTTNAAACACACACAATTGAGTTCAACACACAG